TACCAGTAGCTCTCAAAGCTGATGCTGGTAGATCGTGAAGGGTGGCCCCTTTATTACATTTTGGTATATTTATTTCGCTGTGCACACATGATTACCTATTAGCCTGAGTGTGCTGGGCCAAGTTCCCTGACACCTTTCTGGTGGATACTGGTGGTTGAAGTGCTTTGTATTACATCAAAGAATATTAGTTTACATAGCCTGTTGCACTGCACTGTTGCAAAATACAGCAAGGTGAGCCAGGAGAGAGAGCGGGGGAGAGACAGCCAAGAGAAGAGAGTGAAGAGAGACAGCCAGGAGAGAAAACGAGGAATGACAGCCAGGAGAGACTTAGGGTCTTGGCATTCAGAAAATATATAATGTTGGGGGGTTTTAAGTAATTTTCAGGCCTAAAATGTGGAATATAACATGGGTACAAAAAATTAAAAAAAGGCCTCAGTCATGAAGGGGTTAAGGTGTCTCCGCAAGTGTAGCTAGAAAGCACATCCTTGAGTCCAGATCCTGGCACTTTACCCTAGCGATTAGACTTGCAACTTGTTTTCTCTGAGCCAACATCTCAGTCAAGGAAGTAGATGTCGGCACTGTGAAATGCCTAAACAAAGATGATCAAGTCCTTTTGATAAAAAAAAAAGCAGACCCCCCTCGCTCTGAAAGGTAATAAATACTTAGTAGATCTATTAGTAGCAGTTAATTTTCTTAGTAAATGTTACACTTATACATTACATAGCTTGCATGCATTTCATTTAAGAAAAAAGATATATCTCATGATAGGTCAACTTTAAGAAGAGTTTGTGCCTGATACGTTCATGGAACATTGTTTTTAATCTGTTACCTTCTACTCTTTGCAATATGTTTTATACCTAACGGATGGCAATAATGGTGCACCTGGGTAAAGCTGGGAAATAACAGCTATGGCACACAGCTCTCACCCAAATCGCATGCAGTGTTACTTACCGACACATTTTGTGCTGTTACTATATGTGTGAAGCAGCAGCTGTGTCAGCTACAGACAGGTTGATATGTTGTTGTTTTTGTTCGTATGAATACTGATTCACACGTTTCAGATAGGAGGCAAGTACTTGACATGGTGATTCCCAAAGGTCCAGCAACCTTTACCACAGCTGTCCTGCTAAATCTCTGTCTGACAGTTATTTCTGCATCTAGTACAGTGCTCTAAAGGTCTTTTAGACATCAGTATTACCTGCATCTGTTTTGGGATGCTCCAGATGTTTTTAGTTTTTTTTTTTTCTTTCTCTAAACCTCTTTTAAAGGGCCAGTCCCAAGTGATAGTTTTTCGTAGATACCCTCTCCGAGTCGAATCACCGAACATGTTTTTAAATTACTTCAATGGCAAGCTTGCTTGAGGTCCCAGGTTTGCACATTTGCTTCAGCAGTTACAGTGGTATGTTTTTGGTGTTGAAGACTGCTCAAGATTTTGGAATTGAGCTCTTTGCAAGAAGAACCTATGTATATTCTGCAGCTCTCATAAGTGTCCCTAACACTAAAGCACCTCTAATACCTGAACCTACACCAACCAATGTTGGTTGTCAACAGTTTTGTGCAGGCAGCTGTTGAAATAAGGGTTGGGAGCAGATGTCAGACACAGAAAGCCTCTGACTCTCCTGGAAGTGGCAGAGGTAGCAGAAGATAGAACCGCTATGTTCTGACAAATAGGAGGACAAATTAATTGTTGAAAAGGAGTTTCAATAAATGCTCCTCACCTAACAATGTTAAACCTACTATGTACAGTATGTAGAGTGTGACAGGGTCAATGTAAAGAAGATTTTGGGGTAAACCTAAAGCCTTTTAATTAGTTAATGTGATTGTCTTGCCTAACAATTCTTAAAATGCTATATGTAGGGATGCACCGATACCGGTATTTTGGTACCAAGTACCGATAATTTTTTTCGGTACTCGCCGATACCAATTACGGAGTAATGGAAGTCCCATTCAGGAAGCCAGGTGGCGTGCAATGACTCGCCACCTGGCTTCCTGATTATCCGGGCAGCGTGTAAAGACTCGCCACCCCGCTTCCCGATTTAACAAGAAAGTCTGTCCCCTCTTACCTTGGTATGTCCAACCTGTCCCCCCCCGGGGCCTCTCCAGCCAGAACACGACCTTCCTCCGGTACCCAGCCGGAGCCGTCTGACCAGCCAATCGGGAAGCCGGGCTCCGTGTAATGACGCAACGCCCCGCTTTCTGATTGGCCGGGAGGCCGGCTCCATGCTCCCTCGTCATAAGATGACGAGGGAGCATGAAGCCAGCTTCCCATCCAATCAGAATGCCGGGCGTTGCGTCATTACACGGCGCCCGGCTTCCTGATTGGCCAGCTTCCCGACCAATCGGGAAACCGGGCAGCGCATCATTACTCGCTGCCCGGCTTCCTGATTGGCCGGGAAGTCGGCTCCATGCTCTCTCATCACAAGTGACAAGAGAACATGGAGCCGCTTCCTGGCCAATCAGGAAACCGGGCAGCGTGTAATGACGCGCTGCCCGGCTTGCCTGATACAGGAAGTGCTCGTGCTAGGCATTGGAGCATTTGGGCGAGTACGAGTACTCGGCCCAAATACTCGGTATCGGCACCGATATCGATACTAGTGCATCCCTAGCTATATGCACATAATCTTCATTTCTGACAAAGTAGACCTAGTATAAGATACATTTTAATGTTACATGCATGCACGCTAAGTATTATGGTATTTATTACCGGTCACAGATTTCATAGTTCTCCTTCTGACAATGCTGCCACACATTATGGACATTAAAGCGAAACCTCTCCCCCTCAATGAAGCGGCAGCACTAATCAATTGTACTGTATATATGAAAACAAATAAATGCTCTTACATTTACCTGCCTTTTTTAGTCTGGTTCTTCCCCAGTCCCCCTGGTCCATCCTGCCCCAGGACTAAAACCTGCCCCACCATTACGGTACTCAAAAAAATATGTAATGAGTGACCGGCTTCTTCTTCCTTCTCTGTGCTGGCCCACCGATGACCTCTGCGCCAGCTCTCACGCATTTTCTGTTGTTGTTTGTACGTTGCCATGGTGTTTGCAAAATTAGCGTCCTTATACCAGCTGATACTCATGTAGCTGAAGCCATGGCAACATATACAAATATTTGCAGAAGAAAAAAAGACCCATTCCTGAGCTCTCAAGTCTTGCGAGATCTTGGGAAAAGGCCTTTTTTTTTCTCTTGCAGTTGGACCACAAGAACTTCCTGGAAAGCACTTGTGCATTAACTTCCCATATGATTGTTATCTTGTTCAGCTATAAAATACTAAATCAGGCATATATCATCTTATGTTTGCAGTTTCCACATTGAGTAAAAGAAGAGATTAAAGTGACACTAAACTCAGGAGTTAAATCTTAAAAATGCAATTAAGTTCTTAACTATTAACAAAATGTATCTTATTTGTGTATCACTCAGCTGGAGATCATCAAATCATCTCTGAATTGGTGCTGACACTGTCCTTCCTTCTGGAGGGTGGCTACTTTTGTTCTCCGTGGTCCCTAAGTGTGTTGTAAAGTAGCCACCGCTCCAAGCTCGCTCCCATGATGGACTACAATATTGCATTTAGTTTACTAATTTCTTTTTAAATTATAGTCTATGACGGGAGCGACCTTGGAGCGATGGCTACTTTACGACTTACACAGGCACCATGGGAAGCAAAAGTAGCCACCCTTCAGAAGGACAGTGTCAGCATGAATTTGGAGATGATTTGAGGGTCTACAGCAGAATGATGCATATATAAGCTACATTTTTGTTAATAGTTAAGGTATTTGAATCAACTAAAAAAAACAAAAAAGGGTGCAATAACCTGAGGTATTTGAATGGATTTTTAAGGTTTAACTCCTCAGTATAGTGTCCCTTTAACTTTACTGTAGGGACTCTGAGGAGCAGTGTCCTTACCCAAACCGCTGTTGAAACCTTTGAGAAATCAATACTTTATGCAGTAGTCCAACTCCCATCATCAGTACAAGATCTCGGTGAAAAATTAATACAACTGTTTTGATGCTGCATAAGCTTACTGGAACGATGCCACGGCAAACACAAGCTGTAATCTGAGCTAAAGGCGGTCCAACAAAATATTAGAATGTGACTTATTTTTTGGCTAGGCAGTGTATAGGGCTGTCATTATGTGATGGTACACATATTCTGCAGATACTACTTGACCACTGCAAAGTTCAATTATTCAATGGGATGAGGTTTGGGTTTGCCGCAACTATAAATTTGAGGCAAAACATGCAGGTTTGAGATTCACTGCTAATTTATGTGCAGATTCACTTTTCCATAATAATCAACTGAGCAAGCATTTAGGCTTGCCTATGAAATTCATGTTCATAGATGGAGCAACTACAAATGTAAATAAGGCCAATAACTATCTGAATGCCAGTAACTGTATACAGTGAAAATGCAGGTGAGAGATTTGGTAGGAAAATGACAAATTATACCTGTATATGCAGTAATCTTCCAGCACATGTTTCAATACGAAACTTGTAGGGTTGTAGATTCCCCCCTTCAGACAGCTGACCTCATTTTTTGGGGACATAACGTTGCTGAACCTACACTTCTAATGGAGGGCTCTTAGTTATTTGCTTAGTTAAATCCAGGTGGTGACTTTTTGGCTTGGCAGTGTATTTAAACTGTACCTGTGTCATAGGATTTACTGCTATCCTGGTGATTGTGTAGAGGTTTTACAACAAAGTGACCATGTTGAACTGATTTAACAGCTTAGATATCCTGTACTCATTTAATTCTGATAAGGTTAAGTCACAGTTTAGGGTTTCTGGTATGTTGATCCTTGTCTAAGATTCTGGGATGATGCAAAGTAGATAATGGAAAAAAAAACCAACCTAACAATAAATTCTTACAGGCCAGTTACTTTGAAGGATGCATGTTACTTTTTGTATATGAATTTTAGGAGGTTGAATAAAACTGCATTGAATGAAATTGATCTCAGTGTCTAATGTAAAATTATGTTTTTTTTTCGTTTTTTTTGCAGATGGAATTTAAAATTGAACATGAGTGGAACAGCCGTCCTGTATCACATGACCCAGTGACAATTTGTCTGAAGCCAGTGCCGGAAGGGCTGCAAATGGATGTTACTGCTCCGTTCTTTAATGATCCAGCTGCTCCCCCTGGTCCACCTGGAAAGCCTTTTCCTGGACTATGGGACTATGAAGGTTTGTGTTTTGTCCTAAGTATAAAAGGAAAAACACGATGCACATTCCCTGTAGAAAAGATTTCCCTTCTCTTCCTGTTTGGCACCTGTTGCCTGTATAGGTTTTGAGGGGAAATCACAGTCATGGTGACACATGCCTCAATACAATCCTTACACAAGTTCTAGACCTTCATCACTTTGCTAGATAATGTTTTGTTTTTTGTCTGTGTCCCAATTGGGATTTCCCCGCACTTCCTGCCCTGTCTGACACCCTTTAGAGAGGAAGTAGGGGGTCTTTTCCTAATTTCCTGTTGCATCTAATTCCCATCAAACAGACAGGAAGTGATGACAAACCTTCCAAATGGAGACAGAGACAGCAGTAAAACATTTACAGAGCGTCCTATCCCTTACACGCTCTTTTGTATCTAGACTATTTTAAACCAGTGTGCCATTTTAAAATGCTTTTTGAAAATTCACTGAAAACCCCATAAGCTTTAAAATATCAATTTTGGCTAGTTTCAAACTCCTGGCTTTAAGCAACAATTTTTCTAAAGTTAGCGAAAAATGTGGTTCATCTGATATGCAGGCACTTTGGGGTGAGGTTAGGGCAAAGCAAGTATGACCATGTAAAATCATGTTTTAAAAAACTGTCCCACGAAAACTTAAATGCACACCTATTGATTTAATAATCTGCTACCTGTTCGAGCTTGTGAAATGGATGTGGTACTCTACTTACCCTGACAAGTGGTAGAAATAATGTTAGGGTGTTTTATAGCAGAGGCATGTGTCACCTGAAAAATCTTTAACAGCAAATAAAAAAATGGAAGTGCTAAAATGACCATTTATTCTTTGTGTCCATTTAAAATAATTTCCAGAAATAATCCGAATTAAATAGTTGAACAATACATTTAGCCGTCTAGAGTGCTTTTTTTTTTTTTTTAATGAATCCCAATGTTAATTAACTTTTTACTGCTTCCTGTTGAGAAGTCTTGCTGCAGAGGGGTAATACCGTCATGGGTCTTGGGGAGGGACTCTAGAAAACATGTTCCATCCTCTGAATAAAGCCCACTATATAATCTAAATATAATTAGTGTGTCTGCTGTGGATACAGTATTTTCCCCCTAACGACTTCCAAGACAGCATCTTGAGATATGGAGGCTCCTCCCAATCCCGCAGGAAACACGTCACACATAACCTTTTAAAAGGCCCGCCTTCTGGCCAACACCTTGTGTTCCTTCAGGTAACCTGAGGATGCGCGTCACAGGAACGCTTGGGAAGAGCCTCCATATGGCGAATAGCCAGGGGGTTGTTTTCTTCCTTGAAATCTTAGGTAACAGGCTTACCTTGGGCCTCCAGCTAGCCCCTCTAGCTTTGCTTTTCAGTGCCCGGCGAAGGCAGAGACAGGGATGGCGTTGCTCCCTCGGCTGAGTCGCGGGGAGAGGGTGGCCGCCAGTCAGAAGGATTCTTGTCTCCGCGGTGTATTGACAACCTCTTTAAGGAAGAGTCCTCGTTAGCCTGTAAAAATCTCTTGGCAACAGTTGAGGAGCTGGCTTCTACCTTCCAATCCTTCAGATCAGTGTTAGAAGGCTTTAAACCTAACCCCAGTGCCATGTCAACCCCTGCTGCCACAGGGTCTGACCGGGTACGTCCTAGGACTTCTGTGGGTTTGTCTGAAGAGGAGCTTAGTGAAGCTGGGCCCTCTCATGGTTATTCTTCGGAGGATGTAAGCAGCCAAGAGGAAGTGTCTCCCACCTCCAGATATAAATTATCCTTGGAGTATGTGGATGATTTGCTTGCTGCCATTTATCATACTCTGCAGATTCATGAGGAACAAGTGCAGCCTTCTCGCCATGACCTCATGTATCAGAGTCTGCAGCAAAAGAAGTTTAAAGTGTTCCCGGTGCATAAAGTCCTCTCGGACGCAGTAGTCAGAGAATGGGCAGAGCCAGAGAAAAAGCCTCAAGCCCGCTAATCTCAAACGGAGGTGCCCGTTTGACGATGTCATGGCCTGCAGCGATCCAGTATGAACCACAACTGCGGAGGATTGGGTGGTAGTAGTTGAAGTGGTGTATTACTCTAAAAATGGCACTCAGTAGAGAACCCCAGGCGTCACTCTTAATCTTGAACGAAGAGTTTGGAGTTCGTTACATCATCTGCCAAAAATAGGTTGGGAACTTTTTAGGGAGGAGGAACATGGGAAGGTATTACTGCATACCCCCACCGGGAATATAAAGAGAGGACTGTTATGTGCAAAAAGGTTAAATAGAATTCTTCTCTAAACAAAAGGTTTAACTGAGAATCAAAGTCAGGCAATTTATGCAGCCAGGGAGCTCTCTCCCTTATCAGAGTAAATCAAAGTCACATGAGTGAAATAACAGCAAACAAGGAGTTATCCTCAGTACTAAACTAAATCAAGGTCAAGCGAATGAAGTATGCATCCAGGGAATTATCTCAGGCACATAAGTAACTCAAAGTCATATGCAAGCAGAAATTGTATCCAGGAATTATCTCAGGCACATAAGTATTATAAAGCGGCAGGGTACTTATCCGGATCCTTTGATGCTCCTTGGTTCTCTTGGTAGCTGTAGTATCACAGGGTCCTTGCTTCCAGTGGGGGGTTTTTGCAGTAAGTGGTATTGGGGGTTTTGCAGGCGTTCACACTCCAATACAAGAACGCCATGCAATTCCCCCAGCCTGTCTTTTATAATGTGAAGCCGTGCAGGTGGGCGGAGCCGCACGATCTGTCCCGCACTTCCCCATTCCAGCCTGGAACGCATCGGCGCCGAACAGCTGCGTCATCGCGCCGATGCCGAGTGCGTTCCAAACTGGAACGCATCGGCATATGCGGTGGACGCCGCTTACAGACGATGACACGGCTTTGGTGTGGAATAAAACACCCAAGCTGGATGCTCCATTGGCAAAAGTATCCAAGAGGTCAGATTTGGCCTTTGAGGATATGGGTGTTCTCAAGGAGCCAATGGACAAGGAGATGGAGGTCTTGCTTAAAAGAGCTTGGGACTCTATCCTCCTTGAGCTTAAAGCCCTGGCCACGACTTGCGTGGCTAGGAATTTGGAATTTTGGTTTCGCAATTGAAGACCCACTTACGGTCAGGTACACCTAGGAAGCAGTTGTTGGAGTCTTTTCCAATTCTGTTTAAGGCAGTTGGCTTTTTTGCGGATGCCTCGGCTAAATCAGTTAAAATGACAGCCAGGCCATCGGCACTGGTTAATTCTTCTTGCAGGGCCTTGTGGCAGGGGGATACCGCATCCAAGCTTAGGCTGTGTAACATTCCTTATTCTGGGGTTTTACTGTTTGGGGCAGAATTGGAAAAGATTCTGGAGAGGACAGCCAATAAAAAGAAGCCTTTTCGGAGGTTTGTTCGCAAGACGGGTAGTGGCCCTAAAGGGGGGAAAGAGAATGTTCCCAAGAAACATTGGACGGGACATAAAGGCAGGGGCAGGGGTAGAGGAGGGATTCTCTTTAATCCGCCCACTCCATCACCCAAGCCACAGTGACTGTCCGCTTCCAGTGGGAGGGAGACTCGGGGACTTCCTCCATCACTGGTCAGGGATCACCTCGAATCAATTTAATTATTCGAGGTGATCCTCAAATTAAATCTGGCCAGGGACGGTTACAAGTTGGAGTTCAAAGCTGTACCTCCAAAACGTTTTTTGATAACCAATCTTCCAAGACAACGGGACAGAGCAGAGGCTCTTTGTCTCTTGCTGGGGGATTTGGTGGACCAAAGGGTGGTCACTCGGGTCCCGGTTTTGGAAGAGAAACAGGGATTTTATTCCTATGTATTTCTGGTGGCAAAGCCTTCAGGGAAGTTTCGTTTGATTCTCAATCTGAGACCGTTAAATCAGGTGATTGCTTATAAGAGGTTCAGGATGGAGTCGATTTTCTCCATCCGGAACCTCCTGCAGCCCGGGGCTTACATGGCTACTCTAGACTTAAGGGATGCATACCTCCATATTCCTATTCATTCAGCAGTTTCTCAGGCTGGTAGTGAGAATGGGATCCGTGATTCATCATTACCCGTTTCAGGCTCTCCCTTTCAGTCTCTCCTTGGCCCCTCGTATTTTCACGAAGGTTTTAGGAGAGGCTCTGTCGCCCTTGCGTCTTTGGGGGATTTGTGTCATTCCCTATCTAGACGACATTCTGTTGTCAGCTCTCACAGGCAGCCGGTTGGAGAGCGACTTAGCTGTAACGCAGGGTTGGCTGCGGGATCTGGGTTGGATTGTGAATTTTCAGAAATCAAGCCTGATTCCCTCTCAAGAGATCCAGTATCTAGGTTACATTCTCAATACGGTAAAGCTGAGCACCTACCTTCCCAAGGAAAAGATTCTAAAGGTGATGGCTGCGGTCAGTCGGTTGCAGGAAAATCGGCCAGTCCCGTTAAGGGAGATCATGTCGGTTTTAGGACTCATGACCGCTTGCTTGCCAGCTGTCAAATGGGCCCGATTTCACCAGCGCCCGCTCCAACTTTTTTGTTTAAGGAAGTGGAATCGGGATCAGCACAGTCTAGATTTGCTGGTCCTGATCCCTACCTCAGTGAAGAGGAGTCTGTGGTGGTGGAGATCACAGACTCCTCTTCAGTGGAGTCTGGAATGGATACCTCAGGCCTCCGTGAAGCTCACGACAGATGCAAGCTCCTAGGGGTGGGGGGCGAACTTAGTCACAGTTGGCTCAAGGTCACTGGTCTCGGGAGGAGGCCAGAATGTCCTCAAATTGGAAAGAACTGAAGGCGGTCGCAAACGCTGTCTTCAGTTTCCAGGACAAGTTGAGGGGTCAACACCTGTTGGTGTTTTCGGACAACGTTACAGCAGTAGTGTATTTAAACAAACAGGGAGGCACAAGGAGTCCTGCACTGCAGAGCCTTGCCAGCGGCATTTTTTGCTGGGCGGAGGAGAATCTGGCCTCAGTGTCGGCAGTGCACTTAAAAGGTACCCACAATTTTTTGGCAGATTACCTCAGTCGTCTTCAGATACTGCAGGATGACTGGAGTCTGCACGTGGAGG